GTGAAGATAAGCTGCTAATTTACGTTGTCAGGGTGAAACTCAACAGAACTCTGTTTCAGGGTAAAGATCTTGGGGCCCATAGGGAATTTACTTGTGGGCATATTCTGAGGAAAGCCCTCTGCAGAGGTATGTGTTCTTTTATCTTTGCAGCTATCTACTTAGGAACAAAATGGGAGGCAGTTTTGCATGACTCAGTTCTCAGGCTTACCCTTTTCCTTTGAGATAGTGAGGTTGGGGCCTCAAGATTTTTATTTTTCTTTCACACTCACCAGCTGGATTTTAGCTATAAACTGGTAATCACTGTGTGTTGTTTTCCTTTCTCTCCTTATCCAAATTGTTTTCATTGCAGCCACCCTATTTTCCCTTCGCCATTGTCAACTGGGAATATGGAGAGTGGGAGGGGAGGGGAGAAGAATTAAAATATATACTTATGTATAATTTTCCAAACCAGAGAATTGGAGCTGGATGCAATAACTGGAGAGTCTAGGTTATCTTTTTTTAGAAAGGGAATGGGTTTCTTTTCAATCATATATTAAATAGCTGCATGATAAAGTAGTATATTTCTGAATCATATATGTAAGAATAGGTTGAATATATATTCATATACATCAATAAAGGCATTGCAAGGTGACTCCCAAAGATCCCTGCCTCCTGGTATTTACACATGTGCAAATCCCTCCATTTAGTGTGGACGGGACCTAATAGCTTGCTTCTAGTGAATAGAATATGGCAAAAGTGATAAGATGTCACTTCTGAGCTCAGGTTATAAAAACTGTGACTTTTGAGAGGCCGAGGTAGGCAGATCACGAGGTCAGGAGATCGAGACCATCCAGGCCAACATGGTGAAACCCCATCCCTACTAAAAATACAAAAAAATTAGCTGAGCATGGTGGCACATGTCTGTAGTCCCAGCTACCTGGGAGGCTGAAGCAGGAAAACTGCTTGAACCCAGAAGGCGGAGATTGCAGTGAGCCAAGATCACGCCACTGCACTATAGCCTGAGCGACAGTGAGAGACTCCATCTCAAAAAATAAAAATAAAAAAACAAGAACTGTGACTTATGTCTTGCTTACACTCTCTCTGGCCCTTCTTGCTTGCTCTAATAAAGCAAACCACCAAGTTGTGAACTTTGCTATTAAGAGGCCACATGCAAAGAACTGAAGGAAACCTCCAGTCAATAGTCAAGAAAAAACTGAGGCCCTCAGTGCAAAAGACACTGATGAACTGAATTTTGCAACAATCATGTGAATGAGCTTGAAAGCAAATCTTTCCCCAGATTTTTGAGCCTTTAGATAAGACTAAAGTCCTGGCCAACACCTTGTTTGGAGCCTTGTGAGACTGTGAAACAGGGGACCCAGCTAAGCCATGCTTGGATTCCTGACCCACAGAAAATGAGTGATAACAATTGTTGCTGTTGAAGCCACTATGTTTAGGGTTATTTATTGTGCAGCAATAAGTAACTAACACAGTATAGCCACTAAACAGCACAAAAATAGACTATAGTATGTATCTATCATTTTATTGTCTGCCCAGAATCAAATGACATATTTTCTTGTAAATATACATTTATTTTCCTTTAAGAAACCATTCCTTCTACCATTCTCAGTGACTGGCTAGATGGGATTGCCTCATCTTCCTCTCCCTCTCCCTGACTAAATACATTTGACTCGGGCTCAGCATATAAAATCCAAGGCTGAGATTTCTCCTGGAATTACTGGGAAAAAAGCACTCTTTCTGCTGAACTTGAAGTTGGTAGAATGTCAGCCTGGAAATACCAAGGCCACAAAATAGAATCTTTCTGAAAACTAAGACAACTACAGAGAAAAAGAAAGTTGAGGAAGAGAAAGAGATGAAGTCTTATTGGCATTATTTAAGCCTCTGAACTAGTAATGTCTCTCAAGTCAGTCTATCTCTTAACTTCACATGAATGAATAAATTTCCTTTTTTCCTTCATTTTTCACTTTACATCAATTTCAGCAATTTTCAAGGTACTAATCTAGGAGGTCCATAAAAACAAGGACCAAATCTTTCTTATTCACTACTGTATTCCTCATTGCTTAGCCCAAACCCTGGCAAGTAGGGATCACTCAATAGATATCCATTGAATGAGTGAATACAATCATTCAATGAAGAAACAGTGAATAGGCCTAACTCAGCAAAAATGCAGTCAAATGTTTTATAATCATGGAGAAAGTAAAACCTCTTTTAAAAAATAAAAATAATGTTCTAATTTAAAACTTTAAATATTTATAAATATTATTTTAAACACAAAGATAATTTAGATTAAATAAGCCAGTTAAGCATTTCCACAGTTCATTTTATTTCACATAAAAATCCTCTAATAGCTAGGATAATTCCTTTTTATTATAAAAGAAGAACTCCTATTTCTAGATATAGTCTCATGTTGGGGCACTTCTGTATTTAAGGCCAGAACTTATTTTAGCAATACTATATTAGCTATAAATATAATATTATACCCCAATTAGTTGATTAGAACTCACAATGGATTCTATGTCATATATAGAATATTATAACGTTTTAGATGCCAGGTTAATTAGAAGAAATAAATATTTACACCATCATCTAGATCGTAAATCCCTCTTTAAGGAAATACAGAAGATAGAGGGGCATGTCAAATCACCCCATGAAGATACAATCAGCCAAGTCCAGACTGAGAAACTCTACCAGACAAATTACTTGGTTCTTCAACAAAAAAACTTCAGGGCAAGTAACAGAGATAGAAAGGGAATTTACGGTAATCTACAGACTAAAAGAGACTTAAAAGATACATTGGCTGGGCACAGTAGCTCACACCTGTAATCCTAGCACTTTGGGTGGCTGAGGCGGGCAAATCACCTGAGGTCAGGAGCTCAACACCAGTCGGGCCAACACAGTGAAGCCCCATCTCTACTAAAAATACAAAAAATTAGCTGGGTGTGGTGGCAGGCACCTGTAATCCCAGTTACTCAGGAGGCTGAGGCAGAGTAATTGCTTGAACCCAAGAGGCGGAGGTTTGCGGTGAGCCAAGATCATGCCACTGCACTCCAGCCTGGGCAACAGAGGGAGACTCCATCTCAAAAAAAAAAAAAAAAAAAAAAGATACATCAACCAATTGCAATATGTAAACCTGGATCCTGATTCAAACAAACTTTTGTGGCATGTAGGAAAAAACTGGACATTTAAACACTTTGTGGATATTTGATAATGTTAAGAAATTATTTTTATATGGTATGATAATGGTAGTGTGATTTTGTTAAAACAGAGTCCTTATCTTTTAGTTATATATACTAAAATATTTACAAATGAAATACAATGTCTGAATTTGGGGAACAGGGAATGTAGATGGGACATGGACGAGGCGGGCTTAAGTATGAATTGATGATTTTAGGGGCTGAGTACATGGGGATTCATCATACTACTCTGTGTGTGTTTTATATTCTCTAAATAAAAAGTTTTACAATTTTAAAATAAATAAACAGAACAAAGGAAAGTATAATATATTTAATTATTAGGAATCTAGTGACAATATTATCCAAATTTTAAAATCTGGATACCTGGGCTAACAGAATATTTGAATAGGCCTGCACAAGAAATCACATGATATATGCTTCTAGATTTTTATAGTAATAACATGAATTATGAATACTGAAGAAAGAGGCAGCTGATACAGACAAAAGGAAGAGGAGGAAGGTCGAGCCTTCTTTTTCAGAGGATTTTCGTCAGCACATTGTACCTCGGTCTTCTCCTTGTACCTTTCTTCAACTAATTATTAATATATTAAGTGCAAGGCACTGGGCTAGAGGCCCTGAAGGAGAGATAAAGATGAGCCATGAGGATACTTGTGCCCTCTCACTGATGTCCTGTGACCTGTAAAACATTTCCCCCCACTTCCCATTGCCACATTCCAACCTTCTCATATTAATCTACAAAATATTTCACTTCAAAATGTTCTTCTGATGGGATTGAGGATACACTATTCCAAAATATGGCACTATGGCATACTGAATAAGCTAAAGGAATTTGATAAAACTAGAGCAGCAGGAGATCACTCTGACCTTCCCCTACTCTTCTTCCCAATACAGGTCATAAAACCTAGGAAGGATTTTCTGACCTTTCCCTGAAGCAGGTCATAAGACTCTCATATGAGAGGTGCCCTCCCTATACTCAGAGGAAAGTTATATTCTTATTTCTGAAGACACAGGGACACAGAGAATAATCTAAACACACAGGCCTTGCTAAATTTCCCCCAGCTTATTACCACAAAATCATATCTTTTTTGCCCTATTGTGTATCGCCACAACTGTCTACTCTTCATCAAACCTGCATAAAAGCACACGGGTTTAACTGTTTCTTCAGGTCTTCATTTCCTCAGGAAGGCTCTGGTATCATGTAAAACTTACATGCAATCAGTTAATATGCTTTTTTCTTGTTAATATATCTTTTGTTACAGGGAGGTCAGTCATGAACCTAGAATGGGTAGAGAGATTTTTCTTCCCCTACACTTCCTAATTCCCAATAAGAACTTCCTATACCATTTTCCCATTTTGACTCTCCTTAGGTAATTCTTAAAAGAAAAAAAAATTTTTTAAATCAGGTTAAATAAGTTATCCAATTACAAATAAGTAAAACAATTAACCCTGTCAGTAACTGGCAGATTAGACCTGCCTTGGAGTCAGCTCCAGGAGTTAAATCAAATATGTTCCTATTTGTTACAACTTCTTCTCTCCTTCCCTCACTGAACCCACCTATTTCCTCAAGGTTTCCAATTTTATTGTTTTTGTCCTAAAAGTACAATGGAAGAGCTTGGGGAATTCAGGTTCTATTTCTGTGAAAGGTTCTTATGTCAGAGAAAAATAACTAATGGCATAGTTAAAATATTTCTAATGTGACTGAACTTTTATAAGCTTGACTAAATATAATTATGAAGATAACTCCATATTCTGTACAGTCAACTAATACAAAAAGAAGTAGGTTTAATCAAACTTGGAACATAATCATACCTGCATGGTCCTTCTTTTAGTTAATGTAACTTGAAAATTTTTCCACTCCCAATGTTGTTCCACCACATGTGCAAAAACAACATGTCCATTTCCACAGGCTCCAGCAATCTGAGTGCCATCAATAGACCACGCGATATTAAATATGCTGCCAGTGTTGGGTTTTTCTAATGCGTATGACCACTGGGGAGGAAAAAACAAGAAAAAAATTGACTTATTGAAAAAAAAATTTTAGGAAGTTTTAAATCAGGCACGTGACAACATATTAGGTCATTTTTAAAAGAATATGTTTATTCTGGAACTATGAAACACTACATGAATACTATTTTATATATTATTGGAATTTTTCTAAATAAAATTATATTGTACTGAATAGAAAATGCAGATATAATTGTTAAAGTCCATAGTAGAACATCATGATAAAACGGTGTATGAAATATCTCAGGAACTGTAAAAAACCCACATCATTTTAATGTACATTATTACTTTTAAGTAATAACACTTTAGGTAAACACAAAGATTCTGTAGAAAAAACAAAGACATCTTACTATTCATTCTTAAGGCTGCATATAGTCTTCACATCTAAAAAATTCTCATTACAATATTTTAAGAATGTCACAAAAAAACTGAAACTAAACACACAATGTAACTAAAACAGCTCTACACACATCATGAAATTACATGCAACTGGATCTATTTTGTTTGTTTGTTTTAACAGTCTACACTTAGTATAACCTCTCCTAGAACCTATCTGTCTGTTTGAGAAAGTTATCTAGAGATATCAATAAGCATTAAATAGGACAAAAGAGATTCTGGTGCATGTGTATAAATAAGACATAAGAAAACAATCCAAACTTTTTGATACATGGTATTATGTGTACTTGTTTCATTTTTTCAGATGCAACATATGGTATTTGCCAGGATGATTAATTTGACTAAACTTATATACATATTCTCTTTCCATTCTTCCAGCCTTTACAGCCTGTAGTCACAGTCTTGATTTTGTTGTTGCTCTTGGATGGAGATATATATATGGCTTGTTTGTTTTACATTTTTTTCAAAAATTGTTTTACAATGTTTGTTTCAAACATTTTTATAGTTTAGTTTACATTTTACATTTTTTTCCAGAAATACTAATTATTAGCTACAGGCTCACTTTGACACCAAATTTGGAAGAAATGGAAAAATACAGGTAAAGATTTACTAACTGATGCTATTACAAATCAAGACTTTAAAATTCCTAACAAAAGTTCACACATAACATAAAAATACTGAAAGGCTCTTTGACCACTCACTGACACTTTTTTTCAACTCTCACCACCCTCCAACTTTGCAGCTACTAACTGTTGCTTTAATGGCTTAAGTAAAGGCCTAATAATAAAGTTATCAAGAAGAAGATAATGAACAAATCATAACCTTTGTTTCATCAGCAGTATGAAAATACCAGAAACTTTCTTTTTGAAAATTAAGAAGAATAAATTTTTAAAAATACATATAATATTTGACGTCATCTTTTGAAAATAGCTGTAGAAGACTGGGAATTTCAAAGATACTAATGATCTGCTTTGGGTGATAAAATGAAATTATTTCACCTCTGTCTGACAAGAATTATGAAACATTACATGAATACTATTTTACATAAAGATTAAAAGTGGTTGATAATGACAAATGAGACTTGATTTATTGACATATAGGCTTACGACATAGCTCTCTCTTTTTCTAAATCCAGTCTATACTCATGGTGCAGAAGAAACTGGGATCTTAGTTTAATTTGTATTTTGAAACCATATATTCATATAATAGTCCCCCTTTAACCATGGGGATAAGTCCCAGGATTCCCAGTGGAAGCCTAAAACTATGGATAATACCAAAGCCTATATATCCTATGTTTTTATCTACACATACATACCTACGTTAAAGTTTAATTTATAAATTAGGGAAAGTAAGAGGTTAACAATGTCTAATAACACAATAGAACAATTATAAAAATATACCATAGCAAAAGTTATGTGAATGTAGTCTCTATTTCTGGAAATTTCCATTTTGGACTGCAGTTGACAGAGGGTAACTGAACTCACAGAAAGAGGAAACGCAAAAAAGGGAGGACTACTGTATTTAAAGTATGGTTTTAAAACACTCAAAGAACCAAATCAGCCAGAAAAAAAAGTCTTACTAAAATTAAACAGAAATATTTATGTAAGAACTTATAGATGCATGATCCCAAGAGGACAAAATGGAAAGAAATGCTAAGATAATAGTATATCATCATCCTATATTCAACTGACGTCCTTTACAGTCCACATGAACCAACAAAAAGAAAATCTGCAACATGCAACTTATCCCTGAAAACACATTTCAAGAAATACAGATTGAGTATCCTTTACCAGAAATGCTTGGGGGACAGAAGTGAATTTTGGATTTTTTCACATTTTGAAATACTTTCGTATACATAATTAGATATCTTGAGAATGAGACCCAAATCTAAACAGAAAATTCACTTATGTTTCATATACATGTTATGCACATAGCATGAAGGTGATTTTTTTATATATTTCTTATAATTTTGTGCATGAAACAAAGTTTTGTAATTGTTTTGGTTGTGGCCTGTCACACGAAGTTAAGTGTTGAAATTTTCCACTTGTGGCATCATGTTGGTGCTCAAAAAGTTTTAGATTTTGGAGTATTTTGGCTTTTGAATTTTTCAGATTAGGAATGCTCAATCTGTATAACAGTATTATAATAGTAAAGTTTTAAGTTCTTACATTAAAATTTTTTTAATTTACAATTTAAAAATTATTTTAAATGTAAGCATTAAAAATTAAAATTTCATCACCCAGGTATTAAGCCTAGTACCCATTAATTATTACAAATCCCTATGATACAAATTACCTATATAACAAATCTGCACATGTACCCCTGAACTCAAAATGAAAGTTAAAAAAATAAATGATTTCTCTCTTTTAGATTATTCTAGTAATAAAACCATATAATCAAAACCTAATCAGCAGAGAATAAGTCTTTAATAGTTACTAAAATTGGGGAGACATACTGGAACTATTCCAAAAAACTGAAAAGGAGGCATTCCTCCCTAACTCATTCTATGAGGCATCCTGAAACCAACATCCTAGCAGAGATAAAACAACAAAAAAAGAAAACCTCAGGCCAATATCTTTGATGAACATCAGTGTAATAATCCTCAACAGCCGGGCGCGGTGGCTCAAGCCTGTAATCCCAGCACTTTGGGAGGCCGAGGCGGGTGGATCACGAGGTCAAGAGATCGAGACCGTAAAACTACAAAAAATTAGCTGGGCATGGTGGTGCGTGCCTGTAATCCCAGCTACTCAGGAGGCTGAGGCAGGAGAATTGCCTGAACCCAGGAGGCGGGGGTTGCGGTGAGCAGAGAAAACGCCAAAAAAAACAAAAAAAAAAAATAAGAACCCAAACTCCGTCTCAAAAAAAAAAAAAAATAATAATCCTCAACAAAATACTGGCAAAGTGAATCCAGCAGCACATCAAAAAGCTTATCCACCATGATCAAGTAGGCCTCATCCCCAGATGCAAGACTGGTTCAACATATGCGAATCAATAAATGTAATTCATTACATAAACAGAACTAAAGACAAACCACGATTATCTCAGTAGATGCAGAAAAGGCTTCTGATAAAATTCAACATCCCTTTATGTTAACCACTCTCAATAAACTAAGTATTGAAGAAACATACTTCAAAATAATAAGAACCATATATGACAAACTCACAGCCAATATCACACCAAAAGGGCAAAAGTTGGAAGCATTCACTTTGCAAACCGGCACAGGACAAGGATGCCCTCTCTTACCATTCCTATTCAATACATCTAGCCAGGGCAATCAGGCAAGGAGAAATAATAAGCGTACTCAAATAGGGAGAGAGGAACTCAAACTATCCCTATTTGCAGATGACATGATCCTATTATATATCTAGAAAACTCTATCATCTCAGTCCAAAAGCTTTCTAAGCTTATAAGCAACTTCAGCAAAGGTTCAGGATACAAAATCGATGTGCAAAATCACTAGCATTCCTATACACCAAAAACAGAGAAGCAGAGAGCCCAATCACGAATGAACTCCCATTCACAACTGTCACAAAAAGAATAAAATACCAAGGAATACAGCTAACAATGGAAGTGAAAAACCTCTACAAGAACCACAAACCACTGCTCAAAGAAATCACAGGTGACACAAATGGAAAAATACTCCATGCTCATGAATAGGAAGAATCAATATTGTGAAAATGGAGGCCAGGCGCGGTGGCTCACGCCTGTAATCCCAGCACTTTGGGAGGCCAAGGCAGGTGGATTACGAGGTCAGGAGATCGAGACCATCCTGGCCAACATGGTGAAACCCCCTCTCTACTAAAATACAAAATAATTAGCCAGGCGTGATGGTGCACACCTGTAGTCCCAGCTGCTCAGGAGGCTGAGGCAGGGGAATCGCTTAAACCTGTGTGGCAGAGGATGCTGTGAGCCAAGATTGTGCCACCGCACTACAGCCTAGGCAACGGAGCAAGACTTCGTGTCAAAAATATATATATGTATTGTGAAAATGGCCATACCACCCAAAGCAATGTATGGATTCAATGCTATTTTCATTTAACTACCATTGATATTCTTCACAGAACTAGAAAACAACTTTTAAAAAATTCATATGGAGCCAAAAAAGAGCCCAAATAGCCAAAGACAATCCTAAGCAAAAAGAACAAAGCTGGAGGCAATGTATTACTTGACTTCAAACTGTACTACAGGGCTACAATAACCAAAACAGCATGGTACTGGTATAAGTACAGGCACAAAGACCAATGAAACAAAACAGAGAGCCCAGAAATAGGACTGCATGCTTAGAACTATCTAATCTTCGACAAATCTGACAAAGCAAGCAATGAGGAAAGGATTCCCTATTTAATAAATGGTGTTGGGACAGTGGCTCACACCTGTAATACCAGCACTTTGGGAGGCCGAGGCAGGCAGATCACCTGAGGTCAGGAGTTCAAGAGCATCCTGACCAACATGGAGAAACCCCATCTCTACTAAAAATACAAAATTAGCTGGGTGTGGTGGTGCATGCCTGTAATCCCAGCCACTCAGGAGGCTGAGGCAGGAGAATGGCTTGAACGGGGGAGGTGGAGGTTGCGATGAGCTGAGATCGT